GTAATTCTTCATCTAGTCTATTCTCTTGTGCTATTTGATATGATATAATAGATCGAAATTAACTATTATTCATTTCATTTAACTTGATAATTGATATTCGATAATATTAATAATTAAGAAAAGTAAACAATTAGCACTTGGGCCTTCGAGTCCAGTGGCGTCAGGTCACGTATAAGTGCATTCTCCCATCCCCATGACAACGGTTTGAATCCGGTCCCTTGCAAATTTGTTAAAAAAAAAAAAGAATAATAGAGAATTAAGATGACTTGATATTAAAAATGATAAGATGTCACTCGGATTAATTTATGACAACATTATGGTAGCCTTTGAAGCTATCCATCATCTGAAAAATAAAAGGGTTGGCCGGAGAGGGCATATGGTTGTCAAACTTGATCTTAGCAAGGCCTTCGATAGAGTAGAATGGAATTTCTTAGAGGACACTATGCGAGAAATGGGTTTTCCTGAGCGGTGGATTAACCGTGTCCTGATGTGTGTTCGCACTGTGGAATACTCCGTCTTGATCAATGGGTATCCAATAAAGAAATTCACTCCAAGCAGGGTATAAGGCAAGGAGATCCCCTTTCCCCTTTCCTTTTTCTCTTATGTGCTGAAGGTTTATCAGCTCTATTATCAAGGGCTATCAGTAGAGGGGATTTAAAGGGATTGACTTTGTGCCAAGGATGCCCTTGTCTATCACATTTGTTTTTTGCAGATGACAGTTTGTTGTTTGGAGAAGCGTCTGTTCAAGAAGCTACAAAGCTGTTGGAAATCTTGAAGGAATATGAGGGGGTTTCTGGGCAACAAATTAATCTGGACAAGTCATCTATTTTTTTCAGCAGTAATACTTCCAATGCTGTGCAGCAGGGGGTGATGCAAACTTTGAATATCTCCAAGGTCATTGCAGATGATAAGTATCTTGGACTCCCCTTGATTATAGGGCGAAAGAAAGCTATATGTTTCGATTCTATCCTAGAGAGAGTTTGGTCAAAAATCAAAGGATGGAAAACAAAATTGCTATCTCGTGCCAGACGAGAAATTTTGATTAAAGCAGTTGTGCAAGCTATTCCTACATACTACATGGGTTGTTTTAAGCTACTGCAGAATTTTCTTCAGTCCTTAAATAGCATCATCAGCAACTTTTGGTGGGGAGATAACACTGATAGAAGACGAATCCATTGGTTACGGTGGGATCTCATGTGTAAACCTAAGCGATTTGGAGGACTAGGCTTCAGGGATTTTAGAGCTTTCAATTTAGCTATGTTGGCAAAGCAGAGCTGGCATTTGATGCAAGATAGGACCACCTTATGCTATCAAATTCTCATAGCTAAATACTTTCCCAATGGAGATTTATTGGGAGCTTCTGTAGGAGCTAACACTTCTATGGTCTGGCGAGGGGTTGTTGATGGCCTTAGTATTCTTAAATTGGGCTCAACTTGGTGAATAGGCATTGGACAGGACGTCAGACTCTGGAGAGACAAGTGGTTGCCTTTTGGAGCCATCCCTTGGCCATGGTCCGCTCTTATCCAACAGGGCATGGATGATAGGGTCAGTGCTTTCATTGATGCCAATATAGGCAGCTAGAAGGAAGGAGACATTCGACAACAATTCTATGCAGAAGATGCAGAGAGCATTCTACACATCCCCCTTAGTAGAAGATGCTCCATCGATAGATTAATATGGCTTGGAACCAACAATGACAAATTTTTAGTTAAATCTGCTTACAAATATGCTTGGGAGTTGATCTTTGGCACTTAGCACCACGCTTATGATCAAATATTGAAACCAGTTTGGAGAGCAGTCTGGTCATTGAATGTCCCCTCTAAACTTAAGCATGTTTTGTGGAGGATAATATGGGAGATTTTGCCCTCTCGCGATATACTGCAATCGCGTGGCCTTGAGATAGAGCACGAATGTGGTATTTGCGGAGCAGCAGAAGAATCTTATTTTCATATGTTTTTTGACTGTGCCTGGAGTAAAGCCATGTGGAGAGAAATCCTTCCAACAGCTGTCTTGCATTCTATACAACAGAGTACATTTCTTGATGACTTTCTTGATTTCTTCCTGGCATTGAGTTCAGATGACAGGGAATTAGTTGCTGTGACTTTGTGGTTTATCTGGAATAATAAGAACCATTGTATCTATAAGCATTCTTGTTATTCACCTGCTCAAAGCATTTGGGCCATTAGATGCTATATTGCTGAGTATCGGGCAGCAACAATGCAAGTTGAAGATAATCTACAGGAAATTTTACCTCAACCAGTTCCTGCCGAAGATGTTTGGACTCCGCCTCCCTTAGGGGTCATTAAAATAAATGTGAACGCATGCATCCCACCTCAGTCTGGTACATCAAGCCTCGGGGTAGTACTTAGAGACA